ACCTTTACCCAATGTGACTCTCGTCCAGGAAACTCACCTTGGCCAGATGCGACTCTCCTCCAGGAAACTCACCTCGACGCCACTCTGGAAGCCCAACGCCAGCCTTTCCTAGGCGGCCGAGGCCTTCTTTCAGCCACGCCGAGGACAACCTCACCGGCGTGGCGATTGTGCTCGGTTCGCGGTTTGCACCGGAGAACGTCTCCTTCAAAGACATCGCCAAAGGTCACTTGATTTCTGTCGAATTCGTCCTGAATGAATCCTGCCCCGGGTGCTACAACGTGTACGCGCCGAGCAAGGCCCCCCGAGAGGAAGCTCTTCTTCGGCGCGCCGCGGGACGCGCTCGCGACAGACGACAACGGACGACGTTGCTCGCCGTCGTGGGGAGAGGAGACTTTAACTGCACCCTCGACCCCGGCTCTCGACCGCAATGCTGCCGAACCTCAACCTGAATCCGCACGGCCGCTAGCCGAGCTCGTGCGGAGGCCGGATCTGCGTGACGTGCGGCGACCGCAGCATCCGGCCCAGCGGCAGTACTCTCGTTGCTGCTGCGGCCCTCAAGGCAGGGTGAGCCTCGCCAGGCTCGACCGACCGTACGTCAACGCCAGCGGCGTTAACCCGCTCGGGGACGGTAAAAATCGTACCCTCCGGTTTCTCCGATCACCGCCTGGTCTCTGCGCTGCTTGCGAAATCCCAGAGCGGAGCAGCACAGCGCCTCCTGGAGACTCAGCTGCTTGATGACACCGACTTCAGAGAAACCTTCAAAGCCTTTTTGGGCTCAGTGGCTTCCTGCCAAAGGAAGCTTCAGCTCCCACCAGCTGTTGTGGGACAACACAAAGGCGCGGGTCAGGGTTCTCTTGTCAGCAGTTCACGAGCCAGCACGCCGCCGCCAAGAACGAGGTGGCGCGCCAACTGCAGAACGAGAGCTGCTGGCGCTTGAGGCAGAGCTGAGCTCACCCCACGGCACACACACAGCAGGGTGAGATGCTACTGGAGAAGCAGCGGCTTTTCAGGTCCATCGCGGACGAGCAGGCACATCGTGCTTTTGTGTGCAAAAAAATGCAGCACCTGTCGCAGACGGACTCTCTCCCTCTAAGTTTTTCTTCCGGTCAAACAAAGCACCGGCTAACACCACGTAAGTTTCCAGTTTGCGAACTCCAGATGGACAAACGGCAACATCCGAGGGCGAGATCGCCAAGGCCGCCGGGGATTTCTACTCGCAACTTTTCGCCGCCGAAACCATACACGACTAGGCTGTCCGGGAGCTACTGGACGGGGGGCCCTACCTTAGGAGTCCCCGAGCGGGATCGTCTGCACAGCCCCGTCACCCTGCAGCAGGAGCTCCACACCGCTGTGAAAGGCCTCGCAGCTGGTAAAGCCCCGGGGATTGACGGCCTGCCTGTTGAGTTTTACGCGGCCTTCTGCGATGAGCTTGGCCCTCCACTACTACGATTGTTGACGGAGCGGCCTGCAGAAGGGGGAACTCCCACAGAGCTGCAGGAGAGCGGTGGTCTCCCTGCTACCCAAGAAGGGTGACCTGCGCCTCCTCGTGAACTGGCGACCTGTGTCCCTCTTTGTGCGCCGATTACAAAATCTTCTCCAAGGTGCTGGCAAACCGTCTCAAGACGGCGCTGGTTCAGCTGATCCTGCCGGAACAGTCGTATTGCATCCCCAGGCGGTGCAAAAACGACAACATCGGTACGGTCAGAGACGTAATCTCCCTTGCAGAAGCGCACAACGTGGACTTAGGCCTCCTCTTCTTAGATCAGGAGAAGGCCTTTTGACAGGGTGAGCCACGAGTACCGTGGACAAACTCCTAACGTCGCTCGGCTTCGGCCAGGCCTTCATCTCGCACGTGAGGCTCCTGTACACGGGGCACATCCAGCCTCACGAAGATAAACCAGCGGCTCGGCGCCCCCTGTGACGGGGGAGGTCAGACAGGGATGCCCCCCTCTCGGGGCTGCTGTACCACCCTGTCCCATTGAGCCACTGCTACGCCACCTGAGACGAAATCTGTCTGGCCTCAAGGTCCCGGGACCCGAGGAGGCGGTCGTCAGGCTCTCGGCTTACGCAGACGACGACGTGACGCGTCGTCCTCAGCGACGCGTCACGTGACGCCTCCGTGCTCTGCCAGGCGGTTGCAGCGTACGAGAGGGGGGCCTCCTCCGCCAGGGCCAACTGGGCCCAGGTGCGAGGCCCCCCTCTGTGTGTTTGGGGTCGCGAGGCGGCGTTCGCTCCGTGCTCCTCCCAGGAGGAGTCAGTTGGCGGGACGACGGAGTCAAGTACCTGGGGGTTTACCTGGGGAAACCACGTGACGTCGCTCTGAACTACTGGACCGAGTTTGCCGACACAATCGAGGCTAAATTATTGACATCAGCGCAACGCCTCGCTCCGCAGATGTCATTCAGGGGCCGAGTGCTCGTCGCTAACACCCTGGCAGCGTCCGTGCTGTAGCACAAGACCAAGGCCCCTGCAGCCTCCTGCTTGGCTACTCACCAGAGTCAACCGCTCACTCGCGCACTTCGTCTGGCATGGAAAGCACCGGCTCAGGCCGGGCGATCTCCGCCTGCCGGTGGGCGAGGGCGGCCAGGGTCTGGTGGACGTCGCCGCCAGGGTCGTGAGTTTCAGGCTCGTGGCAGTCAGGCGGCTGCTGTACGACCGGGAGGAGCTACCCTGGAAGTCGCCGGTCCTCACCCTGCTGACGAATGCGTAGGGGGGGTGCCTGGGGTACGGAAAGGAGCTCTTCCTGACGGATCTGAGCCTGGTCGACTACACGAGGCTGCCAGGTTAGCACCAGAGCCTCTTGGACGCGTGGCGGAGCTTCGAGTGGGAGCAGAACTCGCGCGCCCTACGACCTCGCGCGGTTCCTGAACGAGCCCCTCGTTCTGCAACGGCCTCTTCCAGGGCATCAGAGGAGAGAGGGACCCTGGGGCTCAACGTCTCACATCGGCAGGGCTGCGGACAGTCTTCCACCTCGTGCAGGGCCATCAGCACAAATGGAAGACCGCAGCTGAGATCGCCAACACAGCAGGGCTCCGCTCCACGCTCGCTGGGGAGAAGCTGCTGCGGGACGTCGCTACGCGCCATGAAGGAGCTGCGCCTGAAGCTGGAGGCACCGGGAGATGGTGGCGGCCCTCTCCCCTTCCCCCCTCCTCCTCCTTCCCGTTGTTGTGCTTCTCCTGCGCGCACCCCCCCGGCCACAGCGACTTCCGAAAGCTACTGAAGCCCCGAGGCTGCAGGAACGTGCCCCTGAAGAGCGTCCCGAACAAAGCGCTCTCCACACGTGGCTGTGTCAAGGCGCTGCATTCCCGGGACCTGGCCGACCTACCGGACACAAAATGAAGAGACCATTTCTCTCCCCTCACTGCGGCCGCCCCCCCCCCCCCCCCCCCCAGTGTAAACAAATGTACAAAGTCTCCCGTAGCCAAACGCTGCGGTGACCTCCGGTGGAGATTGGTGCACTGCACGTTGCCATCGGCCGTGTGGCTCGGCCGAATCTCGCCAGGGGTAACAGACTTGGTGCATTTCCTGCGGTGCCAGGGAGGATCTGCCCCACCGGTACTCACACTGCCAGCGGCTCAAACTCAATGTTCCGCCTTTTGGGGGACATCTTCAGGAAACTGGGGGTGCCCTTCTACAACAGCAGCTTCGTATATGGGAGGTGGTGCCTTACCTGGCTAACAAACGCCATGACCTCGCCAACTTCGCCTGTGCTCAGGCGAAAGATGCTGGAAGGTGACACTGACGGCTGCTCTGTGCTTCCAGTGTTCAGACGCCTGCTTAAGGCGCGGCTCTGGCTGGAGCACGCCATGTACCACACACATGCCGGTGATGTGCACGTCTTCTTCACCGGCACTCCGGGGGCGTGTCGGTGAAGCGCGTCAGGGAGGCGTTGGTGGTGACGGTGCCGTGGGCGATGCTCCAGCTGAGGTCGCCGATGCGGTCGTACGTCGGACTGGAGTAGAGTTGCCTTCAGCGAGGCCTCTCCGGAGAGATGCAGGGCTAGGGGCTCTCCTCCAGGCATGGTCCTTGTGGCTCCTCAGGGTGTCCTGTTGGTGGAACCGGACCATGTAGGAGTAGAGCACCTTCCTCTTGACGTTTCCGAAGGCCACCTCCGGCAGGTCTTCCAGCCGGCACAGGTTGTGATCCGCCTTCGTTTGTCGGCATTGGCGATGCAGTGGCACGACTGAGAGCTCCGGTGGAGGAGGACCGAGAGGGGCCTCGTCATCCCCAATGCCGATGGGGGGCGTTCTCCCCGTTGCCGCTGAGAAGGCCCCCTTGGCTTTGGCCAGGATCCGGGCAGCCACCCGGAGCGACTGCAGCCCCCCTGTCTTTGTGGCCATGTCTGCTGGTCCGAGCCACCGGCCTCCGTGTTTCAGGCTCCACCAGATCTCCCGTCCTGGTGAGTCGCGCGTTGGCGAGGCGCCTCTCCATGCCTGGGGTGGTGGTGGTGGTGGTGGATGGCAGCTTTGTCTGCGGGTTCCTGAGGATCGGTTCAAAGACCAGATCCTCGGCCGATCGCGGCTGGTTCAGCCTCCTGACGGCGAGGGAGCTCCATGTCTGCAGGACGCTTCTGTAGAAGGGTGGCAGCTGTCCCAGTGGGAGGCCCGGCAGGTCCATGTAGAATAGTTGCTTGGAGCACTGCAGATCCCCCAGCTGTTTCAAGGAGGAAGGTGGCCAGCTGACTCCGCACGCACACCAGCCCGTGACCGCCTTCGTCCAGTGGCAGGGCCAGGACTCCAGCCGCGACCCGGTGTCCTCCACCCGACCAGAAAAAGTCAAGGACTCGCTTCTGAAGCGTGTTGACTAGGCTCATGGGGGGGTGTAGGGAGAAGAGTCGCTATCTCTCTCTCTCGCTATCTCTCTCGCTATCTCTCTCGCTATCTCTCTCTATCTCTCTCTCGCTCTCTCTCGCTATCTTTCTCTCTCGCTATCTCTCTCTCTCTTGCTCTCTCTCTCTCTCTCGCTCTCTCTCTCGTTCTCACTCTCTCTCGCTCTCTCTAGTCCTTGCTCCGGCAGCACATATACTAAAATTGGAACGACACAGGGAAGACTAGCAATGTCCCTGCGTAATGGTGACACGCAAATTCGTGAAGCGTTCCCTTGCTCTCCCTCTCGCTCTCTCTCTATCTCTCACTATCTCTTTCGCTCTCCCTCTCTCTTGCTCTCTCTCACTCTCTATCTCTCTCTCTATCTCTCGCTCTCTCTCTCTCTCTCTCTCTCGCTCTCTCTCTCTCTCGCTCTCTCTCTCTCGCTCTCTCTCTCTCTCTCGCTCTCTCTCTCACTCTCTCTCTCTCACTCTCTCTCTCTCGCTCTCTCTCTCTCTCTCTCACTCGCTCTCTCTCTCACTCTCTCGCTCTCTCTCTCGCTCTCACTCTCTCTCGCTCTCTCTCTCGCTCTCTCGCTCTCTCTCTCGCTCTCTCTCTCGCTCCCACTCTCCCTCTCTCCCTCTCGCTCTCTCACTCTCTCTCTCGCTCTCTCTCTCACTCTCTCTCTCGCTCTCTCTCTCTCTCACTCTCTCTCTCGCTCTCTCTCTCTCTCACTCTCTCTCTCTCGCTCTCTCTCTATCTCTCTCTCTCTCGCTCTCTCTCTCTCGCTCTTTCTCTCTCGCTCTCTCTCTCGCTCTCTCTCTCGCTCTCTCTCTCTCTCGCTCTCTCTCTCGCTCTCTCTCTCTCGCTCTCTCTCTCGCTCTCTCTCTCTCGCTCTCTCTCGCTCTCTCTCTTACTCTCTCTCTCACTCTCTATCTCTCTCTCTATCTCTCTCTCTCGCTCTCTCTCTCGCTCTCTCTCTCGCTCTCTCGCTCTCTGCACGCTTCTCCCTAATGGCATCGCGAGTCGCCCCGCATCACCACTTTAGAATCCCTCCTCCTCCTCCTCTTCGCTTAAGGCCACCAAACCCAGGCACAGAAAAACACAACAGGACACAAAATCTGCCACCGGCACGGACGTCTTGCCGCTGGTTAATACCGCAGTGGTGTTCGTGGTGTGTGTGGAGGGGGTGTGTGTGTGTGCGGGGTGTTTGTGTGTCGTGTGTGTCGTGTGTGTGGTGTGTGTGGTGTGTTTGTGGGGTGTGTGTGTCGTGTGTGTGGTGTGTGTGGTCGGTGGTGTGTGTGGTGTGTGTGTGGTGTATGTGTGCGTGGTGTGTGTAGGGTGTGTGTGTGGGGTGTGTGGAGGGGGTGTTTGTGTGGTGTGTGTGTGGTGTCTGTGTGTGTGTGTGGAGGGGTTTTGTGTGTGGTGTGTGTGTGTGGTGTGTGGCGTGTGTGTGTGTGCGTGTGGCGTGTGCGTGTGTGTGCGTGTGGCGCGTGTGTGTGCGTGTAGTGTGTGTGTGTGTAATCTGTTGCGTCCGTGTGTGTTGAACTTCTTTCGCACCGTACGTAGCCAACCGCGAGAATCGTAGGTCGTGTGTCCGTGTGCGGTGGGAGTGGTGGGGGAGCGGTGGGGTGGTGGTTAGCGTGCTGCGCTACGCGTTCTTGCGTGTTCATTGGACGCGGGGTTTGTTTTTCGTTTTCCAGAAAAGACCCCCACGAAGCTACGTTGCTCTTTTTGCAGAGGCGACCTCACCATCACAAATGATAGCACGACGAATTGGGATCATCATAAACATCATCATCGTCGTCGTCATCGTCACGTGCAAATTCAGAGCAGCGGTAAAATAACGTTCTTAACGCGCGGTGATGTTCATTCTAAATGTGGGGGCACGGGTGGGGGGGAGGGGGCAAATCCGAAAAACGCCGAGACAAATCCACGCGTCCTCGGGGAGAGAGACACGCAGACTCAAAATATACAGCAGCAGCAGCAGGCGTCGTCGGGGTCGGGATCGAACCCACGACCTCCTGTATACCAGGCGAGGTAGTTAACATCTCATAGCCACCGTGATGATGATGAGAGAGAGACACGCAAACTCCAAATATACAGCAGCAGGCATCGTCAGGGTCGGGATCGAACCCACGACCTCCTGTACACCAGGCGAGGTAGTTAACATCTCATTGCCACCGTGATGATGATGATGATGAGAGAGACACGCAAACTCCAAATATACAGCAGCAGGCATCGTCAGGGTCGGGATCGAACCCACGACCTCCTGTACACCAGGCGAGGTAGTTAACATCTCATTGCCACCGTGATGATGATGATGATGAGAGAGACACGCAGACTCCAAATATACAGCAGCAGCAGCAGGCGTCGTCGGGGTCGAGATCGAACCCACGGCCTCCTGTACACCAGGCGAGGTAGTTAACATCTCCTAGCCACAGTGATGATGATGAGAGAGAGAGACACGCAAACTCCAAATATACAGCAGCAGGCATCGTCAGGGTCGGGATCGAACCCACGGCCTCCTGTACACCAGGCGAGGTAGTTAACATCTCATTGCCACCGTGATGATGATGATGATGAGAGAGACACGCAGACTCCAAATATACAGCAGCAGCAGCAGGCGTCGTCGGGGTCGAGATCGAACCCACGGCCTCCTGTACACCAGGCGAGGTAGTTAACATCTCCTAGACACCGTGATGATGATGATGATGATTAGAGAGAGACACGCAAACTCCAAATATACAGCAGCAGGCAACGTCAGGGTCGGGATCGAACCCACGACCTCCTGTACACCAGGCGAGGTATTCAACATCTCGTAGCCACCGGGACAACAACAAAATAACAATGCTGTCCACTAAAATAAAAATTTCACGGTCTTCCAGAATAACGTTTCTTTTTTTTTAACCTTGACAACAACAACAAAATACGTTCCACTTGTCTTTTTTTCGTACAAAAAGTAGGTCTCTCTCTTTCTCTCTCGCTTTCTCTCTCTTTGTGTAAATGGTTTGTAGAGCGCACACAATATAAAATATATATATTGCCCGTCCTAACCTTCCTTCTCGATGGAGAGAGAGAGAGGGAGATGGAGGCTCGCACGCGAATTGTTCCTTAACCTCTCCGTCTTGAAAGTGCCCCACCACCAATTGCGCAGCACTTGCTTTCACACACACACACAGACACACGCAGACGCAGTCACTCGCCTCTCCGCTGCCTCTCCGTCTCCTCTCTCTCTCTGTCTGTGTGTGTGTGTGTCGAGAGAGAGACATAGAGACAGAGGAGAGAGAGAGAGAGGGGAGACAAGTCGGGTGCAAACGCAACAAACAAAATATGAACAAAGAACATCCCAAAGCGACGATGCGCAACAGAAACATCCTGGAATAAGCCAGCAAATATTCCACGTGCAAAAAAATAAAACTTGTAAAGACGCTTTGTGCCAAAAATCACAGTGTGGTGCAAGCCAACAACAACAACAACAACCATCAGACAATTTAGATTTACCATATGCTTTCGAATCACCAAAATAAAGCTATAAAAACAATGTAACAACAGTCATCATAGGAACTTGTGATTTTAAATTTAACAATAAACGATATATATATAAATAACACGTACGACCAAACATGCAGCCATAGCTGGAAGCACGACACTCCCAGTGTATGATGTGTGAGTGAGTCAGTGTATGATGAGTGAGTGAGTCAGTGTATGATGAGTGAGTCAGTGCATGGTGTGTGAGTGAGTCAGTGTATGATGTGTGAGTGAGTCAGTGTATGATGTGTGAGTGAGTCAGTGTATGATGTGTGAGTCAGCGTATGATGTGTGAGTCAGTGTATGATGTGTGAGTGAGTGTATGATGTGTGAGTGAGTCAGCAGTAGCATGAGTGAGTGTATGATGTCCGAGTCAGCGTATGATGAGTGAGTCAGTGTATGATGAGTGAGTCAGTGTATGATGAGTGAGTCAGTGAATGATGTGTGAGTGAGTCAGTGTATAATGTGCGAGTCAGCGTATGATGTGTGAGTCAGTGTATGATGTGCGAGTCAACGTATGATGTGTGAGTGAGTCAGTGTATGATGAGTGAGTCAGTGTATGATGTGTGAGTGAGCCAGCAGCAGCGTGAGTGTATGATGTGTGAGTCAGCGCACGATGTGTTCGTCAGCGTATGATGAGTGAGTCAGTGTATGATGTGTGAGTGAGTCAGCGGCAGTGTAAGTGTATGATGTGTGAGCGAATGTATGATGTGTGAGTCAATAGTAGCTTGAGTGAGTGTATGATGTGTGAGTGAGTCAGCGGCAGTGTAAGTGAGTGTATGATGTGTGAGTGAGTCAGTGTATGGTGTGAGTCAGTGTATGATGTGTGAGTCAGTGTATGGTGTGAATGAGTCAGTGCATGATGTGTGAGTGAGTCAGGGTATGATGTGTGAGTGAGTCAGTGGTAGTGTGAGTGAGTGTATGATGTGTGAGTGAGTCAGTGTATGATGTGTGAGTCAGCGCACGATGTGTGAGTGAGTCAGTGTATGATGTGTGAGTCAGCGTGTGATGAGTGAGTCAGTGTATGATGTGTGAGTCAGTGGATGATGTGTGAGTGAGTCTGCAGCAGCGTGAGTGAGTGTATGATGTGTGATTGAGCCAGCACACGATGAGTGAACCTGTGTATGATGAGTGAATGGGTCAGTGGTTGTGCGAGTGTATGATGTGTGAGTCAGTCAGTGCATGAAGTGAGAGTGTCAGTGCATGGTGTGAGTGAGTCAGTGTATGTAGTGTGAGTCAGTGCATGGTGTGAGTGAGTCAGTGTATGATGTGTGAGTCAGTGTATGGTGTGTGAGTGAGTCAGTGCATGGTGTGTGAGTGAGTCAGTGTATGATGTGTGAGTCAGTGTATGATGTGTGAGTGAGTCAGTGTATGATGTGTGAGTGAGTCAGTGTATGATGTGTGAGTGAGTCAGTGCATGGTGTGTGAGTGAGTCAGTGTATGATGTGTGAGTGAGTCAGTGTATGATGTGTGAGTGAGTCAGTGTATGATGTGTGAGTGAGTCAGTGTATGATGTGTGAGTGAGTCAGTGCATGATGTGTGAGTGAGTCAGTGCATGATATGTGAGTGCGTCAGTGCATGGTGTGTGAGTGAGTCAGTGCATGATGTGTGAGTGAGTCAGTGTATGATGTGTGGGTGAGTCAGTGTATGATGTGTGAGCGAGTCAGTGCATGGTGTGTGAGTGAGTCAGTGTATGATGTGTGAGTGAGTCAGTGTATGATGTGTGAGTGAGTCAGTGTATGATGTGTGAGTGAGTCAGTGTATGATGTGT